CGAGGGCGTGGTGCTGGCGGGAGAGACACAGCAGCTTCCCGGAGCCCGCAGCTGGCAGCCCGTCTGAGTGTCCACGGGCTCCTGGTCCAGCCACGTCTATTCCCCGTGGATCCCCAGCTCATGCTCACCCTCATCTTGTTCAGCAGCAGCGGGATTGGGGGGGCTGTGGAAATCTAAGCCAGATCCCGGCCCTCTGCTCAGGGCCCTCCCATCTCAGCCCGATCTGTCGTTGCAGGAGCCCAGGAGGCCCTGCCATCGCCCCCAGGACCCTTTCCTGGTTCCCCTGGCTCCTGCTGCCCCGTTGCACCACCCGCTTTGCACTTTCTCAGACAGACCTGGCCCCTCTTGCACCCCCCACCAGGCTGACCCCGTGGGCTGGGATGCACCAGCTGGTGGCCAGACTCACTCCCCACAGGGCATCCGAACACTGTACTGGCCACTGGGTCACGCAGCCCGGCCCTCCCACGCACACTCACCTCCCTGCCCCCCTCACCTTTCACCCTGTGCTCGCTCCGCTCACCCCTCTGCCTCTCTCCTCCCTAGGACGGCAGCCCCAGGAGGCCCGGCTCTGCTGCGTGGATGCTCAGTGTGCCTGGGCTGAATGACAGCCCCGCGGGGCCTAGTGGCCGTGGCATCGGTCCACAGCTCTCAGCCCCTGCCCAGCCCCAGGAGGCAGGTGGCCAGGCTTTGTCCCCAGGCACACCCCACAGAGAACTCAGCCTGCACCCAGAGGGTCTCTGAGTTTCCTCGACAACCTCCCTGGGCCCCAACCCTGGGTTTCTCCATCCAGGCCAGTGGGCCTGTCAGACTTCCCCTGGGCCTGGGTACAGCTCAAGGGCATGACCTTCATCTGTCACGGGAGGCACTTTCCCTGGGCCTGGGTACAGCTCAAGGGCATGACCTTCATCTGTCACGGGAGGCACTTTCCCTGGGCCTGGGTACAGCTCAAGGGCATGACCTTCATCTGTCATGGGAGGTACTTCGCGATCTCGGCGAACACAGCTCTTCCCTTCCTGTGGGGACAGGGAAGACCCAGGGAAGAAACCTTAACCCAGATCCTTCTGCTAGTGGGTTCCAGTTCCCAGTCAGCTCCGCTGACCTCCTCAGAGCCCAGCCCAGAGCCCTTCTGGTCTCTTACATCTTCCCTCCCTGACACTCTCCTCTCGCCTTCCCAGAACCCCACCCTGAACCCAAGGCCTGACTTCGGCCTACAGCTCTCCACGTGCGTGCTAGTCCTCCGGAGAAACGAAGCGGATTCCTACACTGTCCCCAAGGGATCCTGCTTCAGTGGGGCTTGTTTTTTAAAAAGAATTATTTTATCTTTATTATTATCATTATTATTATATTAATTTGACCAGAGAAAGTGAGAAGGCAAGCCACCAGGTCTAGGACTCAAACTGCAGTCAGTCATGTGGCAGTCCAATGCCTATAACCACCACACCACCTGTTGGCCCCAATGAGAGGGCATCTTTTCTTTTTTTTTTCTTTTAAGAATTATTTATTTAATTTTATTCATTCATTCTTTTTGGAGAGGTTTTTGCTATAGGGCGCGTGCGCTCACCAGAAAGACAGAAAGAGACAGAGACAGAAAGCAAGAAATCACCCCCCCAGGGGGGATGGTCACGCCACAATCCCTTCTCCATTCTCCTCTCGGGATCTTGGGCACGCGCGCACACGTGCCCCGCAAGAGTTTAAGCCACCGGGTCGGGGACTCGAACCACGGTCAACTAACTACATGGAAGTGCAATGACATAGCCATTACGCCAACTGCTGGCCCCCTGGAACCAATTTTGACAAGAGGAGTGGGACAGCTACAGGCTTTTGTCACCTTCAGAGTCCCCTTCACTCCTGGGCTTGTTCTGCTCATAGCCAAGGACAAAGCCGACGTCCACAGATGAAAACCGCTCTCTCTTCTTGTGTATCTTCAGTCAGACCCATCCAGTTGTGAAGGGAATTGTCACAAGAAATGGGTTTTAAAGTTGAATTACAACACCTAACTGTTCATATTATTTATCACAAAAATGGAAGTCAGAAAAGAGCCTGAAAACTTATAAGAGCTAAGACACCAGATTAGAATATTTATTTTTAAACGTTTATTTATTTGTTGTGATTTTCAAGTTTCTGGGTCTGGAACTTAAACCGCGGTCAGCAGACACCTGAGATAGTGTGGGAGGAGGGTGGGCAATGGCAGAGGGTGAGAAATAGGGTGAGAAATGCAGTAAGGATGGAAAATTACTGACGATAACATGCATGATGAAGCCACTACGCAGTGTATTCTGGAAGGGAAATCACATTTTGTATGCTGTGACGATGCTCAGGAAATGAATGTAAATTCATCCATTTAAAAGCAAATGTTTCAGAAGAAAATGACAGTGCACTTGTCACTAGATTCTAGCTTTGTCCACACTTTCAGTTTAAGGTATTTTGTGAATAAAACATGGAAAAAACAAAACCAACCCACCAAACAAAAAAACTGCGGTCAGCCATGTGGGAATCTAGCGCCTTAACCACTATGCTACCTGCTGGCCCCGAACAGAATATTATTACTGTGTGCCACACTGAAACACTGGCTTCCTGTCCCACAACAGAATGACAGCGTGTGAATTACAAAACGGAACTTTCTTTCTTTCTTTTTTAAGAATTATTTATTTTACTTTATTTATTCATTCATTTTATTTTTTAATTTGACCAGAGAGAGACACAAAGAGAGAGAGAGGAGGAAAGTGAGAAAGCAAGCCACCAGGTTTGGGACTTGAACTGAACTGTGGTCGGCCATGTGGGAATGTCCAGTGCCCCAACCACACCATCTGCTGGTCCCCCCAACAAAAGGGAACTTTCTTTGCAGAGTGCTATCAGGGATCCACAAGCCCTGGGCCACAGACCGGTACGTGTCTGTGGCCTGCTAGGAACGGGGCTGCACAGCAGGCAGTGAGCAGTGGCTGAAGGAGTGAAGCTCACCTGGGTTTACAGCCGCTCCCCCTCGCTCCCATTCCTGCCTGAGCCCGCCTCCTGTCAGATAAGCGGTGGCCTCAGGTTCTCATGGGAGTGCACAGACCCTATGACGAACTGCACATGCGAGGGGTCTAGGCTGCCTCTCGTAAACCACGCCCCCACCCCTACCTCTGTCCGTGGAAAAATGATCTCCCACAAAACTGGTCTCTGGTGTCCAAAAGGACGGGACCATCGTGCTGTATTATAGGACATACACGGGACTGAATCTCTTCACCTTCGAGCCTTCCACAGGTCAGCCACGTTTACAAGAAATTATACTTTCTGCAGAGATAGCAGAAACAATGAATTCCAGATTGATTTTTTTTTTTTTTGGCTTTAGGGCATGTGCATGCACCAGAGAAAGAGAGAGAGAGAGAGTGAGAGGGAGAGGGAGCAATTATGCTCAGGGGAGATGGCCACACTGCAATCCCTTCTCCTCCAGGGTTTTTTTTTTTTTTTTTTTTGGGGGGGTGGGGTGCACACGCACATGAGCCTGTGTGATTTTCAAGCTGCTAGGTCCGAGATTCGAACTGTGGTCAGCCACGTGGGAGTCCAGTGCCTTCATCACCAAGCCACCTGCTGACTCCAAGGATTTCTCCTCTTACTGTAATGTGAGAAGAGGTCTTCGGTCTCCAAGATGGCGGCAATTTGGTGGCACTGGATGGAACCAGAGTCGGGAACCCAAGAATGCCTGTCCCCTTCCCTCAGTCCCTCTTCCCCTCAGCCTTGCTGAGAGGGCTCAGCCCAGTGCCATTCCCATCCTGGGCTCTCAGCCCGAACACCGCAGGGCCTCGGCAGACGTTCCGCTTCCCAGAGCTCACCCCCAAGACCTTGTCACCCTCTGCTTAGACAACTCGAGGATGGAAGCTGAAGAACGGAGCAGGGAAGTCAGGTCTGCCTCAAATACCGGGGCTTAATTTACCCCCGGCCCTACACAGAGAAGCCGGGAGGGGGAAGACAGCCACCCTGGCCTTCGCAGCACCCAGTCCTGCAGGGGCTGGCTGGCCACCCACAAGACGAAGCAAGGAATGGGAGAGAACCACCCTGCCCTGCACAAAGGGGGAGGAATGTTCTAGAATTTTCCCAACCCACTTGCCTTTGAAGATAAGCCAAAGATGTGAAAAGCAGACCTGGTTGAGAAAAAAAAAAGCACAGACCTCTGCTCCCTCCCTGATTCCTCCCGCCCAAGGCCTCATGTTCCTTTACCTCTGAGAACCATCTCCACAAACTTGGGTCCCTAAAACAGTCAAAAGTCTTGTTTTATTCAAAGACAAGAAAACACTGCTTCCAACTCGGAACTCCTTCTTAGTCTTCTTCCAACTCCTCAGGTGTGGCTTTCTGGATTCTGTGGATAAATTCGAACTGCTCAAGAGGAGACGCAGGAAGACGCATCATTAGCAAATGTGTCACTTCCTGGGATCTTCTGTGTCTCCCTGGATATTCCCATCACCTGCCTGGGCCTTTGGGAAACTTCATCCTTAAAGCCACATACACTGGGGTCAGCAGGTGCCATTGTGGCTAAGGCGCTGGACTCCCCACATGACCAACTACAGCTCGAGTCCTTGACCTGGTGGCTTGCTTTCTCATTCTCTCTCTCTCTCTCTCTCTCTGGTGAGTGCATGTGCCCTGTAGCGAATTTTAATAATAATAACAAATAAAATTTTATGTTAACAAAAAAGCCACATACACTGACAATCTAATCCCAAATCATGACATCCTTACCCAAGGAGATGGGTCAGACCGAGTGGCAGAATGACCACAGTGACGCAGTGTGACAAGCTCGGTCAGTGGCTTGCTTTTGTCTCTTCCTGTCTCCCCAGGCGTCTGCTTCAGGGACACCCAGAAGGGAAGGTTCTTACTCTCCAAGGCTTCACTAGTGCATCACCTGCTTTCTCCAATGCACTGCTGTCCTCCTTGCCCCCTCCATCTGCCACCCCCTTGGGTCCTCTGTCCCCACCTGTATCCAATGCACTGCTGTCCTCCTCGCCCCTTCCATCCGCCACCCCCTTGGGTCCTCTGTCCCCACCTGCCACTCCTGCTCCTCCCCCCACCCACTGGTTCACACAATCCAAATCACTTCCGTTGCCATTCTCACTGCCGGACACGTGAGGATGGCCTACTGCCTTGGCCTTCTGCTGTGGAGGTTGAGTGCCCGGTGTGCTGAGGGCTTCGAGGGGCCTTCTGAACCGTCACGTCCCGCCTCGAGCCCGGGCCTTTCTTTGGAATCATCAGCTTCCTGGCATCTTCAGGACCGACCAGGACGTAAGACAGGGCTGAGGCTCGCCTTTCTCATGAGGATGGGATTCTTTGCCAAGGCCCAGCCCACGGGCTGCTTCTTCGGTGGACTCTCCTGACCACCATCTTGGTGTGACTCAGAGGCTCTAGGTGGGCCTCTGGGAGCCTTCCAGGTACACTTCGCCCCAGGTTTCTTCATCGACCACTCTTGCTCGGCACTGGGCTTCTTATTGCTCCTGACAGGCTTGGGGAGCTCCACGCTTCCGGCATCACCACCCCCAGGTTCCTCCAAGGAGGCTGAGCTGCTGCAATGGCTGCCTGTGGGGATTTTCCAGGGCCTTGGTTCCTGCTTGGGACTCTTCCTCTGCTTCTTTCTCCAGGAACAAGTCGAAGCTCCAGCCTTGCAGACCAAAGGTTTGGGAGGGTCACCCCGGTCTTCCTCGTCAGGGTTCTCCACGATCAAGGCAGAGCCTGCCTCTGCAGCAAGCCCAGGTTCGCTCTTGACCTCCCACCCTGACGCCCTGGCCGCCATCTCCACAGTCTCGGCTGTCTCCCCAGCCCTCGCTTCCTCCCGGCAGCAGAGCTCCGTCAGCACCAAGAGGATGAGCTGCACCTCGGCTCCCAGGAGCACCCCCAGCGCTCCTGCCCCGCTCTCTGGGGGCTCATTCTGGTGCCGGCGCTGCTGAGCGGGGCTGAGCTGGAGCAGGTGGACCACATTCTCCCCTGTGCGCTCCTCGGCATCCAGGAACTCGCTCAGGGTTTTCAGAAGCTCAGCATCGCGGTTGGGGTCTCTACAGACCACTCTCCAGGCACCGCCCCTTCCTGGGAATTCCCGGGGTAGGGCGCTCAGGCTGACACCCTCACCAGCCTCCACGAGGGCGGCGTTGGCGTTTTCTTCCCTCAAATAAATCCTGTTGCGCACACGGTATGGACCCAGTGGCAAGAGCACCCCATTCAGGGTCTCCTCAATTTCTGTTGGGCCACAGTCCTCTTGGATGCCCGTAACCAGCAGAGACCTGCGGATGTCCACTTCCATGCCCTGGCACCAATCTTCTAGAAGGTTCATCGCCATGGCCTCTGACACCAGGAGGCTCTAATTCAGGGGGTGTAGCGTCTACGAGTACGGGTGGGCTGTGAGGGTCCCAAATGAATCCTGCAAGGCCACAAGGCAGTGAAGTCAGGGATCTCCGCTGTGCCCTCCACGCCTGGCACACAGGGCGCCTCGCGCTCTCCCCATCGCGTGGCTCGCGATGCTCACACGCGCGTCCGGGAATCTGCTGCAACTGCGCTCGCCGGGAGGGATTTATTCAGCAGCCTCGTTTCCAACTTGCTTCCAAGGAGAGGCCGCTGGAATGCAGCCGCTGGCTCTGGC